GAGTCTTCACTGGATTGGACGCTCTATCAAGATGGTAGTTTATGATATTTAGGTATAATTTTTGTGCCAAATATCAAACAACTGAGAGAGGAAGTACTTAAAGAATTTCACTATTCAGTTTTTGTAGTTCATCCGTGAGGAAACAAGATGTACTAGTATCGCAAGTGGCAGTATTGGTGGAGTGGAATGAAGAAGGATATTGCTTAATTCATATCTAAGTGCTTAACGTGTCAGCCAATGAAGGCAGAACATCAAAAGTTGGCAAGGAAACTCCAACCTTTACAAATACCTAAATGGAAATGGGAGCACATAACAATGAATTTTGTAATGGGTCTACCCTAGTCACCGCAAGGCCATGATGTCATTTAGGTTATCGTTGATCAGTTAACTAAGATGGCACATTTCCTACCAATAGGACCGTCAGACACACTCGAATCATTAAGCTGATTATTTATTCGAGGAATCATTAGGTTGCACAAAGTACCAGTCTCAATAGTGTCAGATCGTAACCCTCGTTTTACATTACAATTTTGGCAAAGTCTGCTAAAAGCTATGGGTACAGTGTTGTGTTTTAGTATGGCTTTTCACCTTTAAACTGATGGTCAATCAGAAAGAACAATTCAAACTTTGGAAGACATGCTTCGAGCTTGTGTGATGGATTTCAAGGATAGTTGGGAGAGACACTTACCAGTAGTCGAATTCTCTTACAATAACAGTTTTCAACCCAGTATTGGTATGGCACTGTATGAGGCTTTGTACGGACAACCTTATCGATCACCAATATGTTGGATGGAAATTGGAGACGCACCCTTTTTAGGGTCAGAATTAGTTCAAGAAACTACCGAGAAGGTGAAATTAATTAGACAAAGACTTGGGACCACTTAGACTAGGCAGAAAAGTTATGCAGATCAAAGGAGAACACCTTTAGCATTTCAAGTTGGAGATCATGTGTTCCTAAAAATATAACCTCGTCGAGGAGTTGTTCATTTAGGAAAGAAGGAAAAGCTACCACCTTACTATATTGGGCCTTTCAAAATTTTGGATAAAGTAGGAGAGGTGGTGTACCGTTTGGCTATACCACCTTAACTAGCTAGGGTATATAATGTTTTTCACATCTCTATGCTATGAAAATACGAGCTACACCCTTCTCACATCATCAAATGATAGGAAATTAAGCTTGATGAAGATGTGACATTTGAAGAAAAACTTGTCAAAATTCTAGATCGTCTCGAGAAGAATTTACGAGGTAAAACTATACCATTGGTTCGAGTTCTCTGGAGACATCGTGGGATGGTGGAGTCAATGTAAGAACAAGAATATATGATACGTGTTAATTGCCCTCCACCTTTCAAAACTAAAGGTACGAATTAATTTCGAGAAATAATTTTTTTTATTTTTTTTAGGGGGTTAGATTGTGAGAACCCGCATTTAATTATTCTAAAAAAAATATTATAATTTTGCATCATAAGACATGAATAATAAATTAATTTAATCTAAAGTCACTTAAAATATATATTAATGTATAAGTTAGTTTTAAACCAATCCAATTCAATCACTAACAAAAACATTGTTACGAATAATAATTTTGTGGGTATTCAATATTTATTGTTTATAATTTAATTTAATGAGGATTCAACATAATAATTATCTTTACTAAATACCTTAGTTGAAAACTTGAATTAATTAATTTTAAGAAACCCACACAAATAAATAAATAAATAAAAATGAAATTCGGTGGCAGTATAGGTGATTAATCACCCAACACTTGTATGCATGCATGTAATAGTAAGGAACTAGGCTCATTATATATCTTGGAAGGACTTATGTAATAACCTAGACCCGTAATAAGCTCCTAATCTGTGATTAAGAATGTTAATTAAGTTTTAAGCATGAGATCATGTATTAATTGTGCATTTTGTATGTGTTTTGCATTACTATCTATTAGCCATTCGTAGGAAAATCTGTTTAGAAATCTGCTTTGTTCTGTTAATTAAAGGCCATATCGGCATCCGAACATGAAAATGACTGCGTCAATGTGTTCATTTGAATTTTTAGAATATTATGGGAAGTTTAATTAGAATCCGGCTCGGAATCAAATAATTAGAATAAATTAATTACTTAGTTGAATTACCTTAGCTCTATTCACAATTAATTAGCCTAAGCTAATTGAGCCTATGTAAGGCCAACATACCTTCTAGAACACAATCTCATCACCATTTTGAGCTAACAAATGTGTAGAAGAAGGGAAAGTGAAGGAAAGAGTTCAATTCAAAAGGGAAAAGTGGAGATTGAAGGGAAAGACCAAGGAATTTGCAACATAGAGTTCAATTGAGGAGATTAGGTAAGAATTTAACTCATAAACTATGTCTTTAAGACATCAAATGTGGGAAATTCAAGTGAAATAAGAGACTAGCATGATAAATAAGTTAAGAATGAAGAATTTTAGATCATCATAAGCTTGCACGCATAATTCATGAAGTTTGGGCTTGAATTCCACCTCATATCTCACATACATGGAGTTATTTTTGTTAAATTTTGAGAAATCAACATGATTTTGTACAAAACATCTCATTTGTTCATAATTCAAAGAGTTTGAACCCAAAACATTAAATGCATTTGCTATACATTAAGTTTGAGGTTTGGTTTTGAAGAATCATCTAGCTTTTGGGCCTTGATTTTGTGAATTTACTTTCATGTCATGTTTATTACAAGTTTTCAAGTATTTGTTCAAGTTTTTGGCCCAATGAAGTTTGAGCTTGAATTCCACCTCATATCTTACATGCATGGAGTTATTTTTGTTAAATTTTGAGAAATCAACATGATTTTGTACAAAACATCTCATTTGTTCATAATTCAAAGAGTTTGAACCCAAAACATTAAATGCATTTTCTATACATTAAGTTTGAGGTTTGGTTTTGAAGAATCGTCTAGCTTTTGAACCTTGATTTTGTGAATTTACTTTGATGTCATGTTTATTACAAGTTTTCAAGTATTTCTTCACGTTTTTGGCCCAAATGAACAAGACTAAAGTGTCGAGCATTCGCTCGAGTAATGGAAGTGCCGCTCAAGCATACATTTCAAGCTCCCAGTAGTTTTGCAGACAATTGCACGGCGGCTCAAGCAACTGATTGTGAGCTATGCAAGCATCATTTTTCTCAGTACTTGGCTTGAGCAACTATCGAGCGTGAAAATTGAGCATCCAGTACTTTTGCAGACTTTACAGACCGCTCGAGTGAACTGCCCTATTTTCAAAAAAATTACAAGTGTTTTTAAAATGCATAATTGCATCCTCATTCCATCTTAGACACTCTTAAGTCATGGTTTAGGCCATATTATGAGGATTTGAATTAGGAACACTAAGAAAGAAATGTAATAAGTTAAGTGTTTTCGGAGTGTGTGTTTCAATATGTATTTGTCACATGTTTGTGTGTAGGTCACGCGCCATTATCCAACTGATATGTCTAAGTTATCTATTCAGCTTCTAGAGCTATCTATGAGTAACAACTCTATAAAGCTATGTTTGACTATAAGTATTTTCGGAATGAAATCATATGATAAGCTTTGTTTTCTGAAATGATATTTTTTGTATAGGTGAATGATTATCTTATTTCTAAAATATATCGTGGTATCCTTAGCATCATGTGATATGTTATACGTTACCTGGTACTAGGGCTTCGAGTGGGTTTCATTCATGGAACTAATTACGCATAATGCACTATATGATCTGCAAGTGAGTCTTTATGACCATCTCATGTGCATAAGGGTATTAATGACCATCTCATGTGTACATGGGTCTTTATGACCAATATGATCTATTAGCGCTAATGGATGTACCACGTAGAACTGTTTATAAGTCTGAATAAGTATATGAATCTATTTCTGATCTGAATTTTGATTTCTAAATCTGTTATGGACATCATTCATAAAACATTTACTCTATTGTTATTCATTGGCTCCAACTCATTATTTATATTATGTATGCAGATGACCAGGTGCGCGACCAGGCTTGATACTTTCAGTCTGGATCAATTATGTCAGCCAACCATTGTGCCTCACGAGGAGGTTCCCGATAAATGGTTGTGGTCAAATTTGTGAACTAGTCTGAAGTCTTTGCTTTCTTTTGTTTTGGATTGGTCAACTTTTTGTATGATGAAGTAGGGCTTAATCCCGTTTTGATTATTTGTACTGATGACGCAAGTTGACGTCATAATATATGTATATAAAGTTTTGAAATTTTTCTATCTCATATAAGTCTGCACAGCTCTATGGACTATTATATTTTTATATTTGCTTTTGCTAGCCTCTTAATTTTGCTAATCAATTTCTGAGGCCTTCGGTAATCTTAGGATTATTGGCCTATTACGATAATAAACCTATAGGCGTGGGTTTGGGTCGTGACAGAGTGGTATCGGAACATGAATTATATTGCAAACACGAGTCCATGAACTACAAGATGTGGTAGAAAAGAATTAGGGACATTACATCAGAATGTGTGAATGTGTGTATAATTATATGATATATCCGAAATAATATGAATTGAAATGAAACTGAACACTATGAAATAAAATTGAACATTGTGACACCTATAAAACAACTATTTGGTTATGTTTATTATTGCTCTGTGTACCTATAGTAAATGGAAAGAACAAGAAGTGATGATATGACTGAGTTTTGATGCCCGAATGGAAAGAATGTTAAAAGCTTTAACTGAGTCCATGAGACAACAACAGAGACAACAACTATCTCTTCTGCCTTCTCTGGTGCAAGTGGAACCAGTAAACAATGACATTATTAGGTTGACTCAGAAGCTCAACAAGATGAAACCTCCGACCTTTTTGGGTGGTATTGAGCCACAGAAAGCTGAAACGTGGATGCTAGAAATTGAAAAATTATTTGAAGTGTTTCCATGTTCTGAAACTCAGAAGGTTTTGCTGGCAACCTACACTCTAAAGGAGGAATCTAGGCATTGGTGGATGTTAATCTGAGATAATAATGGGACTATGACAAGGAATCAATTCAAAGAGGTTTTTTATGAAAAGTATTTCTGTCAATTCTTTAGAGATTTTAAGATCTCCGAATTTGAACAGTTGAAACAAGGCAACATGTCAGTAGTAGAGTATGAAGCCAAATTTACTGAATTACCTCGGTTTGCTCCGCATATGGTAGACACGGACTACAAAAAGGCCAGAAAATTCGAAGGAGGCCTTAATTTGGATGTGTTTGATGGAGTTGGTGTCTTAAAACTAACCAAGTATATGGATGTCTTGGATAGAGCTCTTATGACTAAGGCCAATTTAGCAGCCATGAAACAAAGTAAAGCTCTAACAAATAAATGGAGAGGTAAAAGATCTGGGTTTAATTTCAGAAATAGATGGTCATTTTCAAAGAAGAAAAATACAGGATCATCGAGTAGTTCAAGTCAAAGTAGTAGAACTGCACCTACTTGCTTTGAATATGGAAGGAAACACAAGGGCGTTTACTATTGGTCAACAGGTGCTTGCTTTCGATGTGGCAAGACTGGCCACATGATAAAAGACAGTCCGCTCCTGTCCCAAAATCCCAACCATCCCGAGGCAAGTTTGGCAAGGTCTGCCACCAAGAACGAATGTGAGAACTAATGTTGGAAAGGAAAATTTGAGGCAGGGTAGAGTTTTTTCACTTGTGCCTGGGGACATCTAGAATACTAAATCAGTGGTGTCAGGTATTATCCCTATCTGTACTCAGAATGCTTATGTCTTAATAGATTATGCATCTACTCACTCATTTGTGTCGCCTGCTTTCTCCCGGAAATTGACTAGACCTCTAGAGCCTATGGATTATCTGTTGTCTGTATCTACACAATCTGGGGGTTCTATGTTATGTTCATATATATATATATATATCCTGCATGTGATGTTATGATTGGAGAAGTACTTCTATATGTTGATTTGCTGCCGTTGGATATAGATCATTTGGATTGCATATTGGGTATGGATTGGTTGACAAAGTACCATGCGGCCATTGATTGTGTTTCTAAGTCTGTGATATTTCAACCACTGGGGTTACCTAAATTTGTATTTGCCGGGAATTGTGTAGTTCCTCCCCCATATTTGATCTCTGCTATGAAAGCAAACAAACTGCTTAAGAAAGGATATAGGAGTTATTTGTGTTGTGTTTTGACTGTACCAACTGATAATGTTAATGTGGAACCTATCCCTATAGTTAAAGAATTTCTTGACGTGTTTCCTATGGAATTGCCTGGAGATTTGACAGATAGGGAAATTGAATTTACTATTAAAGTAGTACTTTGAACACAACCGATTTCTAAGACCCCAAACAGAATGTCAACCTCTGAATTGAAAGAATTAAAAATTCAACTTCACAAACTCTTAGACAAGAAGTTTATCCGACCGAGTACTTCACTTGGGAGTGCTTTAGTTTTATTTGTTAAAAAAAATGCAAAACTTTGAGATTGTGTATAGACTATCGGGAATTGAATAAAGTGACCATGAAAAACAAATACCCACTAACCCGAATAGATGATTTGTTTGACCAACTTCAGGGAGCCCAAGTATTTTCAAAGATAGATCTTAGATCCGGGTACCACCAATTAAAAGTTAAAGTAGAGGACATTGAGAAACAACCTTTCAAACTAGATATGGACACTATGAGTTTTTGGTAATGCTATTTGGGATAACTAATGCACTTGCCGCCTTTATGGACCTAATGAATAGGGTTTTCAAACAATTTCTTGATGAGTTTGTTGTTGTGTTTATTGATGATATTCTGATTTACTCTTAAAGCATGGAAGAACATGAAAATCATTTGAGAATTGTGCTACAGACTTTGAGAGAAATGAAATTGTATGCAAAACTATCTAAATGTGAATTCTGGCTTGACATTGTGACTTTTTTGGGACATGTGATCAACAAAGATGGCATATCTATTGACCTGTAGAAAATTGAGGCCATTGTAAATTGGCCAAGACCAACTACAGTGATAGAAGTTAGAATTTTTTGGGGGCTTGTTGGTTATTACCGTAGATTTGTGAAAGATTTCTCAAAACTTGCCTTGCCACTCACTCAGTTGACACAGAAAGGTATACTATTTGACTGGAATCATCAAAGAGAATAATCTTTTCAAGAATTGAAAACCAGATTAGTGACTGTACTAATTCTAACTTTGCCCACCGATTCAGATGGGTTTCAAATTTACATTGCACTTCCTACAAAGGCTTCGGGTGTGTTAATGCAAAATGGACGGGTAATTGCTTATGTTTCTCGACAACTCCGACCACATGAGAAAAATTATCTGACCCATGACCTGGAACTTGTAGCCGTAGTGTTTGCTTTGAAAATCTGGCGTCATTATCTATATGGTTCAAGTTGTAAAACATACACAGACCATAAAGTTTTTTAAAAAAATTCACCTAAAAAGAACTGAGCATGAGACAAAGAAGGTGGCTAGAACTGATAAAAGATTATGACCTGCAAATTTTATATCATCTAGGGAAAGGCAAATACTATACCAGATGCTTTGAGCAGGAAATCTATGGGCAATTTGGAATGTTTGCTCACTAGATAGAAGGAACTATTGTATGATTTGGAAAGAAATGAAATTGAAATCGTTTTACGTGAACAGAGTGGAATCTTAGCTGTTATTTCTACCCAGCCAACAATCATTGAAGAGGTGAAAAAAAATGGCTAGAAGATGAAATCCTGAAAAAGATTGTTGATGAGATTGAATTAAAACCGAGGCCGAGATTTTTATTTGAAAACAAATGTATTGAAATTTCAAGGTAGGCTTTGTGTACTGGATTGTTCAGAACTGAGAAAGAATGTTATAATAAATGCCCATAATTCCAAATTTGCTATGCATCCAGAAATACAAAGATGTACAAAGATTTGACACAAAATTTCTGGTGGCTTGGAATAAAGAAAAGCATTGTTAATTTTGTAGCCGAGTTTGTGTACAACAACAGTTATAATTTGAGTATCGGTATGGCTCCTTATGAAGCTTTTTATGGAAGAAAATTCCGATCACTAATTTGTTGGGCCAAAGTAGGCGATAGGCCACTATTGGGACCCGAACTTGTGCAAGAAACAATTGAGAAAGTGAAACTAATTCAGCAACGATCAAAAACTGCACAAAGTCATCAGAAAAGTTATGTCGATGTCCGAAGAAAAGCTATAGAATATGAAGTGGGTGATAACATGTTCATTAAAGTGACTCCAATGAAGGGTCATACACGATTTGAAGTCAAGGGTAAGATGGCACCACTGTACATTGTTCCGTATGAAATCATTGAGAAAATCAATCAGGTGACGTATCAAGTAGCCTTACCTCCAGTTATGGAAAATATGCATAATTTCTTTCATGTTTCGATGCTCAGGGACTATTTGCAGGATCCGTTACATGTAATTGAGCCGATACATGTACTTTTGAAAGATGACTTCATTTATGAAGAACAACCAATACAGGTTTATGAATTGCCAAATCAAATGATTAAGAAATAAAGAAATCCCATTGGTAAAAGTTGATTGGCAACAACATGGAGAGACATATGCAACTTAGGAAACTGAGGAAGATATGATGAGAAGATATCCAGACTTATTTCCATTGGACCCCATATTCTTCAGAAATAAAGGTACTTAAAGTTTGGAGGACCAAACTTTTAAGGGGGGAAGACTATAATAACCCCGACTCGTAATTAGCTCATAATCTATGATTAAGAATGTTAATTAAGTTTTAAGCATGAGATTATGGATTAATTGTGCATGTTGTATGTGTTTTGCATTACTATCTGTTAGCCGTCCGTAGGAAAATCTATGTAGAAATCTGCTTTGTTCTGTTAATTAAAGGCCATATCGGCATCCGAACATGAAATTGACTACGTCAATGTGTTAATTTGAATTTTTAGAATATTATAGAATTCGGCTCGGAATCAAATAATTAGAATAAATTAATTAGTTAGTTGAATTACCGTAGCTCTAATCATAATTAATTAGCCTAAGCTAATTGAGCCTATATAAGGCCAATATACCTTCAAGAACACAATCCCATCACCATTTTGAGCTCAAAAATGTGTACAAGAAGGGAGAGTGAGGGAGAGAGTTCAATTCAAAAAGGAAATATGGAGATTGAAGGGAAAGATCAAGGAATTTGCCACATAGAGTTCAATTGAGGAGATTAGGTGTAGACGTCCCCGAACGCCCCGGGAGGGAAATCCCGTTTTGTTCGTTATGGGCTTACTACAATTCAGGACTCAAATGTCACGGTCCTGTATCTAATCTCGTAGAGTGCAATGCAAGACTGATGAATCATCAAAGAGTCCAAATTCGGCAAATCGTTTTTTAAAACAGATTTTTTGAAAGAAGTGCCAAACAGGGACTGCTTTGCCAGATACAGAGTCGCCACCTAAATATTTTGTTTTGGGGGGAATTTAGGAAACCCTGACTCGTGCCGAAGGCCACGGGTCCGTCATCACCAAAGTTGTGTCGGCTCGGGAACTTGGGTACGATTGGGGAAGGTCACTTCGTGAGCACCCCTGCTCGCCCGATCAAAGATCGGCCTTTACTAACCATGATATCGAGTTTTGAAAACATTATGCGTTCTTATTCCGGTTATTAGCCTAGATTTACTACGTGATGCACACAACATACAAGTATAGATTGGATCGCCTGAATTGGAACAAAACACCTTATATTTGCTTTTGAAACGGTTTGCTACTAGCAAGTAGGCTAAAATGCGAATTTGCCACCCTTAGGTGGGCTTAGAAAACAAGATGATTTGCCACTCTCAAGTGGCCTTAAAACTCACAGTCAATGCATTATTCCAATTCAGATAACCCAACCTTCACCCACAGGCATTCAGGCAGATATATCACATAAGCACATAGCCTCATGGTAAGCATGCTATCATGGCAGTCACTCACACACGTGCAAGGATGCTGAAACATAAACACTTACCGAGTACTCCAAGACAAAACAAAAGCTATGTTAGAAATCCATGCATGATCCTAACTATACAGAAATGCCTAATGCAACACATGCAAAATGCAACTATAGTAGGCTCGACTATTCTAAGGATGGCATGTGAAATGCGACAACTAACAAGTATTCAACTTGGAATTGAAATACAATGCAGTTAGTATGATGCGCCGAGCCTGGTGCATACAAGATAGATGAATGAATGCAAACATGCGAGCATAAGTATGCTAATTGAAACATGCCCTAATCTAACCATCATAAGCTGATAAATAAAAGGGAGAAAGACGTGGGGTTAGAAGACATACATCACACACACGCACACTTATTACAACATTGCCCCCCTCGAGCGGTCCGAATAAATAATACAGTCCGAATAAATAACAACTACAGCTAATTATTACACAACATTAACTAATTAACAAACTAGCTAAGTAAGCATGTAAACTATATGAATGTGACTGCCTCGGCTCTGTTTTGGGTGACGATGGATGCATGCATGCTCGAGTCGCCTCGTCGGGAATTTCCATCGCGATGTCTCGTCTCGCCTTTGGGAAGGCTGCCGACCAGATATTGGCTTGGGAGACACCTCCCAGCCACCCTTTGTGGTGGAAACCAAAAAAGGTGGTCGGCCTGCTAGGAAACCTGGTCGGCCGACCACTTTCTGCCTCTGGATTCTGGTTTTTCTGCAACAAAGGCAAGATGGAGAGAAAGCAAGGTATTTTCAACATATGTGTACAAGACCACTCTCCTTGTCCTTGCACAAGCTCAAGGGAGTGTAGACCTCGATCCTCGTGCCACCAATCAAGCATCTCGATGCATGATGGCTGAGGAGTCGAATTGCACGACTCAATGGAATGAATGCAAGTATGAACATATGAAGCCAACAATTCTATCATGGGTAATCAAGAATATCGACGACCAGGGATCGAGGTACATTTCATCGCTTGGAGCATGAAACGTCCCTCGTTTCCCGTGTTTGGACTAACTCCTACTCCAAACACAATGCAATATGCATGACATGCACAAATGCAACTAGCATGCAATCCTAATGCAATGCGACCTAACCATGCAAACATGCAAGGATGAGATGCAAACATGCTACTAGCATACACAATGCTATAAACTATATCGCATACACAATGCGACTAACAACCTAGCATACGTAATGCACACATGAAGATGGACATACACAAAGGCATAATCAAAGCATACACAATGCGATGGTCAAACATGCAACAACATGAACCAATTGGCATACACAATGCAAGGTGGACTTAAATCAATATGAGTGGACCTCAGCCACACTCAAATTAGCGGCCATG